ATATATATATATAAATATATAGTTGTGATAATTGCCGTTCACACCTTAGTTTCACTGAAATTGACCATTGCATACTTCACTCGATCTATGTTTTCTCAGATTTCTGCATCAACGGGTGACGTTCGGACAGCCTTGAACATTTGTCGCAGGGCGATTGATCTAGCCGTCCAGGAATCACGCGCCTGTACTCCCGGTTCGGTCGCTGCTAACACAACAACTACACCAAATTGTCAAACGCCCACACTCAGGCATATCAGTTTGGCGCTTCAGGAATCCAAGGTGGTCTTATTTATTTAAATTTGTTACCCTTAGTTCACTTAAACAGGTGCTGTTACTCTTTCCAGTGTTATTCTCGTCATAGATGCACCCGGATTGCATCTAGTTATCCTGACCACTCATCGCACATTTTAAATACTGACGCGTTTCAACCAACTTTCTGGCTACCTTACTTTGTAAACCCGTCCCATATGACCCTAAAATTTGCATGCAGCTATCTTTCACCAGTCGGTTAAACGACCGTGTCTGGATGTGTCCACACAGCCATTGCAGTCAGGTGGATTTGGTCGGAATAGTGAGCTGCACGATCTAGGTATACTCCCTCCGTTGAGCCAACCAATGACTAGATCTCAGATAAGCTGTCCGCAACTGATTCTTTGCAATCCGATTGAGCTACTGTTGGTCAGTGGATGTTTTAGTAGGAGCCAATCAACCTTAGATGACCATTTCCCATGGCAATTTGAAGGTGTAAAACCTAGCTGCTTTTGGGAGACAGTTATTCCTCCAAGAGCAATCGCTCTCGTGAATTCGAAAATTCCTCTGTCTTGAGGATGGCCAAATTGCTTTCTTACGGTCCGCATTACTGATGGTTGAAGTGATTTCTTGGTTCAGTCCATACAAAACCTTTCTCAGGAACCTGGGCTGATTATAAACAGACAATTGGTTGCTAATTTTTCTGCGACCGTCCCGGTTAGCTAAAGTTTGGCGTTAGGTGGTTTTCGGATTAAGTGCTGGATTATAGTGGACACCTAGCATGCTATGGTTCACATAATGCCACTGCCAAAACCGAAATTTGCCGTATTAGCTATAAGTGATACAGAATTCGTTTGGCTCGATGTTCCTGGAGAACAATACACATCTAATGGTGACTCAGATCACCCATGTTCTCTTCGTCCCTTTGGCATCCTCATAAGCCTGAATTAGTTTACTAGATTCAGACTTGTAAATCATTAGCCCCAAAGCCTGGTAAAGACGTAAGGCATGAGGCTAGCCAAAATCCCATAATTCCTCTCGTGGCTTTGGATTCGTGTCCGCGTCACTTCACGTTAGCTAAGTGTTTGTCTCCATACTTTGGCGAAGTCCATTCGCCCGATGTTTTCACCACTCGCTCATTGGTGCAGACATTATGATTGTTTTATCTTTACATTTTCTCGGTGATTCTTCAATATCCCCGTGTGTTTGTTCAGTTCAACTAAACAGGAATTTGTTGTCTATGAGGCCACATTGACAAGAGTTCAAGGGATCCAGTGGCTAGTTGTTGTTATGCATCTTAACGCGATCTTGAAGTCTTGTGAAGCATGATGCTTACTTTGCATGGATCAGTTGATGAATTGCAAGGACATAATCATGGGGCAAGTGGCATGGTTAGGATATCCGCTAAAAGCACTGACCACCATGTGTGGTGTAATTCGCTTTCCGTGGGCCCTTCTTTGGTTTGGCTGCCGGATTACGATACTTTTCTCCCGTCAGGTCACATTTCTGTATTCGTCTTTTTTCTCAGGGTTACGACACCTCATTACGACCGGCTGCTGCCACCCCACATGCGGAATCCGTCAACAACCAAACGGACATTCCACTACATCACAAACTGGTTATCGCCAGTGCCTACCTCATCCGCAAACAAAGGAATCAGCGGGAGATATCTTTCGGTCAACTTTGTGAAACATACTCATACATTTGTACGAGTCGGCAACTCACCCGACTTGAAGAATCAGAGTTGGCCGCGGTTTGTGTTCTTTTGGACGCACGTGGTCTCATACACTTCACTGCTGGGAAGGCAGCTCCTGCCACAAACCTTGGCACGCCGGCGCGATTTCGACGAGTTCGACTGAGGCTGGACGATCGGGGAGTTGAGCAGATTTTATCAGATAACATCCTCTTTTCCGCAATTCTGCATTTAACTTTGTCTAACTGACCATTTTAAGGTGACTAATTATGGATCTTTGCATTTCTTGCACTTGCTACCTTATGACTGGACTTCTCGACGATCAGTCGTTATCTCCACAGCAAGTTCTGTCAAACTTTCAAGGTTATCCAGCTATTTCTCTACTCATTTACTGCAAGGTTACCTCAGCAAAATTGAACCTGGTGCTCCTTTCGATTAATCCTACTTGGTGTCCGTTATTTTTATGTACTATGTAATGTGTTTTTCATAGTAGAAACCGGAGTTATTTCCTGTCAGGATCAAGAGAAATCAGTAGGTCGTTATTTGTTTTCGTGATACTATAAACGAACAAGAGTATTTTCATTGTTGCCCCATCCTGGGTTATTCTTTACAAGGCCAGATGTGAATAGTACGCCCTACCATATTCAGCCTTCTCTGTTGTGGACTGGAGCTGTTTTTAATCCCTGTTTCGATTAAATTTTATGGACCATTTGTCCTAGAGTTTTCAATGTTTGCTTCTGGGATGATCTGCTTGCCACCTGCTGTTGGGTGGTGCTATAGAGCTGTCTTGGTATGTTTGATCCCATCTACAGACCTCGGACACACCGTTTAGTTCTTTCCCTTATGTGGTTTTTTTAATCGAATTAACATAATTGTAGGACACCGTCCTCAGTTTTTTGTTTAGGCGCTGACGTCTGCTTATTCGCATACTGTCCAGCACGCTGTTAGGCCAAACCGTACAGATTTGGAACGCTTGTTTTTCGGAACTCCTGTCTTTACTCGTGAGTAACTTAGAATCTCTAATTAGAATGGCCGGTTATTTTCGATACGTCGCAATAGAGTCACACAAAGGACAAAGTGAAGTTATCGATAGCTGGACTTGATAGTTGCCGTTTTCCGATTCATTTTCGTGCAGATTTGATGTGATACTGAAATATTTTCCTTTTTTTTCGGTTCACGTAACTGTTTCGCGCTCGATATGGTGCGCTGGTTCAAGTGTTTAGAGCTTGATTATCCGTCTGGTTCATTTAGCTCTTGACCCACTGTAGCACCCACAGCAGCGCATTCTCAACGGAACTAAGTACATTGCTTTCTCGTTTTTAATCAAGGTGACAGGCTCATTCAGATCCGTTGCAGCCTCACCGGAGTAATTCAAACACAGGCCGGACGGTTTTGTGGCTGCCACGAGTTTTCACCTTCACCCGTTGTTCAGAAAATCGCGTAAAGCGAATACGGCAAGCCCTCTTCCCATGTGCAACCACTCCAAGTAGGGATCACTCTCCTGGGAATTCGAAAAGGGCGTTTTCCGTCAGTCACGCTATGGTTCACATTCCTCTAGAGTGAGACCACAGAGGTCGAATATATTTCAAGCTCATAGCGTGCTCATTCACGAGGATTCACTTCTGCACCATGCTCATGGAAGACTTGTCTGACGTGCTTTCCACATTGTATTGATACACAATGTCGGTTCTTATATGCAACCAATTTCCTGTCATCCATACTGAGGGTAGATTAAAATTCGGCACCTGGAACTTGGTACACTTCAAAAATCGAGCAACTGATGGACTAACCTCAGCACTCCAGAACTACAGATTCCTGATTTATAAACCATTCTATTAACTAGGTAATCTGCTGGCGACCCTCAAGCCCACTTTTCCTTTCAGCACACTGTCTCATACCATCGCTAACTTAGCTGCCCACATTGAGTGCTGAACCATGCACAGTCAGGATCACGCGGTCCCCATCCTGGAAGGCGAGTATCACCGACAGCACCCAAGCGTTTCGTGATCTCCTTCATACTCCTCTGCCAAGTCAAGGGTTAGCCACTTCTTACTTTGGCTGGTTGGAGACACTACAAGATATGGCTGCCAACCGATGTCAGTGGCGTTCTTGTTGTCAGTTTCTATCCAGATTGCCTTAGTGAATGTCTGGAGGTGTAGGCACCTTGGAATGATTGTGGTAAGCTAGCGCTAAGTCTCTTGCCTGTTCACCTTTACTCTTTTCTTTACACTAAGGCTTAAATCATGGTTGTAGGGTAGTGAAGCATCGGTGTTGAACACTGATGTCATGCTGTCGATGGTGATGAGTGCTGAACAGAAGAAATGATAGAATTGAGGGAGAAAGGGCTAACGAATGGGACAAGTGAGAAAGGCATGCATAGGCTTGGTTGACTAACAACAGATTAAGACATAACCTACACTAGCCCGAATGGGTACTTCACTTTGATTCGAACTGACTAACTTTCAGCTAGCTGCTCTCACGTTTAAGGTAGGCTGTTTTGGAACATACAAACTAACTGGCAGACACTTATTTCCCAGCTAAACAGTACTTCTTTGGTCATTGGGAAAACAAAGTATATTCAACCAATTCCGTAGTTAATAAGATCTCTTGTGGATCACGAACCATCATCCTCATCTGTCTGTCCAACAAAGACGTTATCAAATACTTGTCTTCCTTGCGTTCGATATCTACGACACGTGTGCATCAGATCGTACTCGATAGTGAGCAGTATGTTCCTCTTGTCACTTCGGGTCTGATCATCATCAAACCAATAGAGTTCCGAAAACTGCTCTGCATTTGGCCGGTCCTCTGGAGCAAGAGCCAACGAGTCACGCAGTTGTTTCTGTACTGAGTCGCTGAATGTACTGATCATCGGATTTTTCAACTGTCCTCCGGTCTGATCGATTATGCTCAATACTTCCTCCAAGGAACCCACCGGGTACGGCGGCTTCCCTGTTAGAGCGATGTGAGCAATACAGCCCACACCCCATACGTCCATGGCTTTGGTTGGTTGCATCAGCTCATCCTCCATCTGGTCCTCGTTGCTTTCCACGTATCCTTTTCCCGATGTTTTGCGCTCTTCCCGCATTGAAACAAAACTTCTGATGTACTCCGGTGCCCAACTGTCTATTACCAAGGGTGGATTAGCTGTGATGTAGGCGAGTTCCTTTCGGATGCTTAGGTCGGGCATAATTGTGACGGATTGTGGAGACATTGCTTGAAACAAAATATGAGTAGGTGTCAAGTTTCCGTGCACAAAGTTTTGTGAATGCAAATAACGTAAAACCTGATAAATATACTGAATAATTAAACATAAATCACGGACTCGAAGTTGGGGTTGTTGTAGCATCCAGTTGAATAGGTCACCAAACATGCACATTTCCGTGACAACCACAATCCGTTTCGGTTCTACCACAAATTCAATCAGTTTTAGCAGAGAATTGTGCGATAAAGTACGAATTCTTGCAGTTTGTTGACGAACTTTCCTTGAATATCGCCGTTGCAACCACCGGATCGGAAATGGTGCGTGTGTGAAGAAGCGGTACTCCACTTTTTTCACTGCGACTGCAGCTCCGGTCGTCAAGTCTCGGGCAGCGATGATAGAACTGAATCCGTCATAATATAATTCGCGATAAATAAGCAACTTTTCCTCATCGAATGCGGGAGCTGCCAAGGTGATTGGTGCAGGTGGGGTTGTGTCCTGTGTCTCACTAAGTGGCTGCATTTCGCAAATTAATGTTTACTAGTGCGAACGGAGCAATGGGCATGGTGTGCTTCATTTCAGCTCAAGTATTGCGATGGAAACAAATGGATATTTTCACTAATTGGTTTCACCTCCAACGGACAATCCACCAGTCACGCACCTACCTGGTGTTGGGCTGTTTCGCTTCTGAATTTACTACGGTTGTGGGCACGTGGCGATCAATCCAGGGTGTGGGTGGGGCGCCAGTTTAAATGTACATGGTCAGTAATTTGCTTGGAAGATGATTGATCCAGGTGAAGAACCGAAACAGGTGGTTCCAGTAACTTGTTGTAAATATGCAGTCTCTGTTCTTCGGCGTTTTCAATGTCCAAACAAGTGAAAAGGGAGGATTATGTTGTCCGTGTTCGAATAAGCCCTCATACGTCATCCTATGCCACTTAAGACTACAACCAATCCCGCCAGTGTTTTAGAAAATCGACGCTTCAGCCTCCACCACCGTTTTCATTAACTTTCTTATACCCAAGTAGGCCTAGTGCCTCGCGCCCCTTCCACGCTAGAAACCATTGTAGTGTTTCTGAACAAGGACCCCCTCACAGGTTCAAATGGCCTCAGCTGGAAGCGGTAAGGGAATCACCTTAACGGTCTTTTCAATAAAACCGTATGCATACCATATTTTTTATAGTACAATGAAGCACTGTCGTTAGTACAGTGGTTTGATAGCCTTCCGTTTTAAAGCGCACAAAACAAGGAACATCACGGCTTTGATCCATGAAAAGCCTTGTCAGAACAAAAACGTGGGACCCTGTCATTTGAAAGGTCACTGTTTTACGGCCACTACCTAAAGCCGCACTTCCAACCCGCCTTCAAGGTCAAGTATGTAAATAATTTATTGTATTGGGGCTATATTAATGCGACACTGTTTGGCCGTGTACCAGTTCCGTAAACTCTCTCAAGTCATTTCATTTCAAAAAAATGCCAGAACACATCCAAGCACGAAAAGTGTATGTGCAGACAACGACGCGTCGCTAAGGTTACTACGTTCCGGACAGCAGGTGCGTGGACGGAGTTGTCCAAACACGACTTAACAGTATGCGACCAGCGGAGCGTGCTTGAAAATGTTCACAGCAGGGAAGTCGTCATTAGCTGGACAAGAACAAGCAAAGCGCGTGGCCGTATTTGGCCATTCACTCATCCTAGGTATTTACGAGCTAGCTCTGTATATTTTGACCTGACTTGACGGTACAGTCGTGTTCCTGGTTTTCTGTCTTCTTATCGCGTAGTCTGGCAGGCCCAATTCGTGCGTAACCAATAAACGGACCAACGACACAACTGAAAACCTCTATCTTCCTAGAGGGCTTGAACTCTACGTATCACACTAAGCGTATGTATTTAAGTGCAAACAAATATATGGCGAATGACCAGGCCTGATAACTTTATTTATGAGATGATACAGCTCACTCTTTGTCGCTAGGGTGGTGCGAGATATCTCACTGCTTAGAGCGTGAATTTACCGATCGAAAGGTCCGTAGTTCGAACCTGCCCTCTGCATCTCGACTTTATCTAGGCTTGGGTAACCTGGCCGTATTCAAGCCCCCATGTTTCCTTCGGGTGTCATGGCAGCCAGGCACCGAAATTGTTGCGGCTGAACGATTGCTTGATTGTGCTTTGTCGCTAGGCTGCTTAGCGTACTTTGCTATTCGCAGCACCCTTTCGGATACTGCGTAAAAAAACACGTTTGCGAACTTTTGCTAAATGACATTGGCAGGAGTAGTGCTGTGTAGGAGTATTTGCTCTACGTGCTGCGCTCCGTAAACTGTATCTTTGATTCGTGTTAGAGGCAGAGGGATTAGTTCCGCGTATAGAAACGCTCGTCATGGAATGTTCCAAACTGCCTACTAATTTTCCCACTTGAAAGCTCTTACCACATGCAAATGTGGCCTCTACTAAGAGGCGGTCGCATTTGAAAAGAGTCTGGTCGTCGAAAGAACAGCCCTCGTTTTTGTGCGTAGGCCACCTGCAGAAGTATTGTGATCTCAGTTTGGCTTAGGAAACACGTATGTTAAGACACGGGTGTACTGTGTACATACGGTCAAACGGGACGCTTTGAAAAGTTAAGCATACATAATTATAACTTCAGATCTCCAGTCAGCTGACAGCAATTGGACATTTGTCCCACATTACAAAGCCTTGGGCGAATTATCTCTAAATGAGAACATTGATGATCATTTTTATAGCCTAAGAGCACTTCAATTGTCTTCTACCGAAACTGAAAAGGCTTTAGAGAATTGACTTCACATCATTTTTCCAATCTGTGTCATATGCATCAAGAGCTAACATCCAATCTCTTTACAGCTCTACTTAGCAGGAACTTTTAATTCAATATGCCAAGCCCTTTTGATAGTTAACGATATGCTCAGATAAGGTAGCGTGGGACTCTAAGAAAACCAAGGTTTCTTCTTTTGTCAGACAAATCGATCGAAGGTGAATCGTGTTCGATGATAGTCCCCAGAATATCCACTCCTATCACTCATGCTTTGCCTGTTATTTAAGACATGTCCTCTTTGGGGGTTCCTATTTCTAACAAACGAAAAATAAAAGGACCAACTGTTCTTTAGTTTAAGCTGATACCTTGGGAGGAATTAGCACAAACGTTTTTATATGCTTATCCTCTTAGTGAGTGGAATTAATATGGACCACGAGTTAATTAAAACCGGGGGGTGGTCACAAGATTGACCATGGATGGATACCATCGACAAGCTAATTATATGCAGTCAACATCTACCTGTATAGGCTACGTGCTATTCGTAGATGGCGCGACTGCTTACCTGAGAAAGTGCTGATCACTCAAGCATACTCCTCGCTTATGTTTGCGTTTACTTCTGTGGACATTTACCGGCTATTCCACACCATCCGTCAGCTATTGGTTGTCATGTTAATTGGCTCACACGATGCACATCATGTTCACCTTTTTGCTTGTTCATACTCGCGGCATCCATGTGTCAGTTAGCCAACTACACCGGGATTCCCTCAGCGCATACGACAGCGTTGGCACCGGTGAACCGTGAAGTATACCACAGCTAGAATGGTCGGTTGGTGAAATTCACAGCTGTGTGGCCGGCATCGATCAGTTGCCACATGTAAATTGTTACGGCCTCATAAAGGTAAGTCACCTTTTTCTAGATTACTCATAGGGTTGTTGAAAACTATTCGGCACCCCATCTTCGGTTTCGCTTTTCTTCTGTCTCATCAGGTAGACGCAATCCCCGAGTTTCCGTCAACCTCATGTTCTACTTGAACCCAAATTGAACTGTTTTCGAGAACTACACTAATTTGCAAATCAATTTGGTT